TTAAAAGTGACCCAAGATGGAACATGAAACCACATGTGCCGTGACCTTTAGGTTTTATGAGTAGACAGTATCAATTTGATTTTCTACAGAAATTATGTAAATTATTCTTTAGGTTTAAAAAAGAGCACTCAATGCAATGTGTGAATAATCAGTGGGGTTGGGTTTTCTTTTTTCCTATTGTTTAATAGCATTTGTCTAATTGCTGAAAAGCCTACCAAGTTACCAAATTTTATATGAGTGGAATAGTCAGACTGGCCTTAAAGAAACACACAAAGATGGGGTGTGGGCCCCTAGAAAGGGACTTGTTAGTTGCCTTTTATAGAACCCTTGTACCTGCCATTGTTGTTCTGATGAACAAGATTAGGTACCTAATGTGTTCCCACCCTCATCCTGGCCCCACATAGTTCTGAAGATGAAACCGTGGTATTGCTCATGCAAGCAGCTCTATCGAGTTTTCTTTTGGAACACACCTGAACACATTTCCTGTATCTGACTTGTTCACCTAATGCTTCATTCATTTTGAACATGTAGATTCAGTCATGAGCTTTCTTCACCTGTTAAGAGTGCAAAAGTATGTTGGGAAATGGATGTGGCAGAGAAGAGGAGATGGGTTTGAGAAGGGATTAGAAGGAGAATAGATGAGATACCAGAGTCCAAGGTCCCAGCAGGACTGGTAAAAGGAACCTGCCGACTCAGCAGGGAGAATGAAGATTGATCAGCTATTAAATCCTTAGTAGAGGTAGGCTTATGAAGAAGGACAGGGAAATGGGATTGAGGTATAGAAAGCAGGCACAAGACTAGTTGCTTGCTATAGAATCTGTTGATTCCAACAGCCTGTCTGAATTCACTTACGAGCTCAAGAAGGAATGTGTAGCATCACTCTGTTGTAGCTTTTGACTTGGAGCTGGTCCAGGCTGGAAGCCAGCTGCAGCCCCTCTCGTGTTCACATCTCCAGACCATCTCACCTCTGCCCTGCTGTGGGGAGCAGGCATGGCAGTAAAAGTGGCCTGGGCTCTCTCTTTCAGTTCATTGTTTGCTTTTCTGGGAATTACAAGGTAAGCACCAAGATCCATGGCAGCATTACTTCTTCTGCATGATATGTGGTGAATCCCTCTGCTGGCTTATACAGTGATTCAAGATAACAAGTCAATAGAAACTGCCGAGGTGGGACAGAGTGGAGCCTGGGAGCCCAGGAGCAGTGCTTCAGAGTGTACCTCTGTCACTAGGTCCTCAAGATACACTTGTCCCTAGAGTAGGGACTAACTATAGCACAAGATAGTATGTGCCAATGTTGTTTGTGAAATGTGTGGTCTTTCTAAATGATTAAAGGAATCTTTTTTTTTTTGGTTTGGTTTTTGTTTGCTTGTTTGTTTTGCTGTTTTTCCCTTTTTTTCAAACCAAATCTTAGAGCCAGCCGAGACTGTTAAATAATTTGGAGGCTAAAATAATGATGTACCAGTAAATGTAAGTTCCTCCTTATGACATGCTAGATGATGGAAGATGTAAAATATTACCTTCGCCCTCTTCTCTTGACTTTGTACTTTCCTGCATGTTTTCTTCATTTTTAATCAATAAAGATAAAGAATGAATTGTCAAAAATAAACATTATTTCTTGAAACAGTGGTATGGCTGAAGTATGTACTATTATGGTTGTCTATAGGAGATAGAAAGGCACAGGGAAGGTCAGCAGGTTGCCTAGATTAATTCATATTGTCAATATCAGGAGCAGGACTAAATCAGTTTGGTTACAGGGCCTTGCCTTGACCTGAAAGTATTAAAACATAAGATTCCCCATTTCCTCTATGGTCCAGTAAATTTACTGTCAGGTCCATCTTCCGTGGAAACACTAGTACATGATGTATGTAAGGACAAATGCTCAGAGATGCCAGTTGACTGATAAGAAAAAGTAAGAATAATCTAAATTTTCATCATCAAGGAAATGGGTAAGTGTGATGGGACCTAGTTATCCAATAAATTAAAATGCAGCAATGAAAATAAATGGTTGGGGCTGGAGAGTTAGCTCAATAGTTAAGAGCCTTGTTCTTAGAAAAGGCCTGGGTTTGATTCCTAGTACCCACATGGAGGCTCACCACCTCCTCAGGTGCCAGGCACACATGTGGGTACAGACATACATGCAGGCGAAACACTAATGCACATAAAATAAATTTAAAAAGAAGGCTGTTTTAACAATTCCAAAATTCTAATGATTATATAAAACAAAATGCCAAGCAAGACGTAGAATAAGCACAATTTGTAAATTAGTTACCCTTCTCAAATTCTGCATATTGGTTGGTTGATAAATTCATATGTTCATAAACATACAATAAATTAAAAGTTTTAAACAGCACACATTGAATAGCTACCAATTCTTAAGGGACATTGGAGGGTGAGGTAACATGGAATGCCAATTGGTTGCCAATCTTCCCCCTGCATTTACTGGATCTATACTTCCCATATTTGAGTGCCTTTAATTTTGAGAAGTTTACCTTTCTTGGATTTCTACAGACCTCAAGAGATAGTTATAAGAAGTTACCACAAATTTGATGACTTAAAAAACAGAAATTGATATTCTCTCTGCTCAGTTCAGTCTGTAATCAATGTGTCAGTGATAGCATGCTCCCTCTGGAGGCTCTAGGAAAGGATATTTCCTTGACTTTTCCAGCTTCTGGTGTCTCTAGGTATTCCTTTATGGCAGTATCACTCTAACTTATGTTTCCATCTCCATGAACTTCTTTCTGCATTTCTTATCTTTTATATCATTGCATAGAGGAGTTCTGCTAAATA